GAGCATGACCCTCTCCCTGCTGTGGGGCCCGAGGGGCACCGTGCCCGGTCCCCTGCACCTGAGAAGGTACGAAAGCAGACTCACTCGCCAGGACTTCTAATTCTCTGCGGGTCTGCGTGGACGGCTCCCCCGGGGCCGGGCACTGGTGGCGGAGAAGCAGCTGGGCTTGGTGCAGCCGCGAGTCTCTGCCCTTGCACCTTTACCCAGAGTGCTGGTTAAGCATTAATCGGGATGGTGATAAAGGCCCAGGTGACCTGGGCGAGAGGGCACAGACGTGCTGCGGACCCACAGAAGTGCTTTCTAGACAGCCTGGTTCCCTCCAGCCCTGGAAGCTCTTCCCACACAGCCCTGCACACCTTCTCCCACGGAGCCCCAGTGCCAAGGTGCCAGCCCCATCCGTCACCCCACAAGCCCCTGCTGCTGCAGGAACCCCCCACAGACAGCCTCTCACCCTTGCAGAGCCCCCAGGCTGAGCGCTGCCCCCAGAAAGCACGGCTGGGGTCTGCATGTATGGAGGATCGCCGCCTCCCCAAAGCCCACCTTTCCCCACCAATCTGCTGCGGGGACAGCTGAGACGTAGGAGACAACACTGCAAACAGACATCGACGGCTGCCTGGAGAAAGTGAAGTGCAGTTTCCTCGAGCCTGGGGACACGGCGCTGAGCCCGGCACGGGAGGAGCCTGCGGAGTTGGGCTCCGGACTCCCAGGCCGGGACAGAGCAAAGCCGGAGGGAGGCTGTGTGTGGGACGGTCCCTGAAGGACTGGGCACAAGGCAGCCAGGAAGGAGTGGCTATGAGCAGGGCTGAGCGTCAGGATGAGGAGCAGAGGTCTCTGCTCCACCAGAGGGAGTGCAGGATGGAAGGACTGGGAGCTGAGGCGTCCAGCTGCCAGGACTGGGACCTCAGGGACAGGAGCAGTGATGTGAGGGGACCCCAGGTCTCTACCAGAGACCCTGGATGGAAGGAAGGGTGGGGGTGGGGGAGGGAAGATGCACACACAGTGCTCCGTGCCCGGCTCCCTGAGCTGGGAGCAGAGGTGACCATCCTTAGTGAGGGAAGGACACCAGCACGGACAGAGCCTGGGACAGTCCTGAGGCTGCAGAGAGCATGGTGTCATCCAGGCCTGGAGGGCCAATCCCAAAGGACCACGGCAAGAGGGGTGCTCCGAGCCACAGCACACACATGCACCCCACTGCAAGGCAAGGGGCTGGAGGTCTGCGGGGAGCAGCTCCGCAGGGCTCCCCGTGTCTCAGGGCTGCTCTCCCGGGGGACCCGGATCGAGGGGCAAGTGTGCTCGGGTCCTCGCTGTCCTGCTGGAGGACAGCAGAGACCAGGGAGCGGGCAGCGTGTGGGACGTGCTGGAGGGAGTGTGTGTGTGTGCGTGTGTGTGTGCACGCACGTGTGTGGAGCTGGGAAACTGCACAACCGTGCCGCCCACTGCCGGCGACTGTGGGCACAGCCCTGGCTCCCGCGGGGTGCACGAAGGACTCAGCCCAGGAGCTGAGCGTCAGGCGTCCTGCAGCGGCCAAGTGAGGTGTGCGGGAGGCCTTGCGGGGGCTGCATTTTCTCCGTGGTGCGCATTCTTTTCCTTACAGCTGGCTTATTTTCATTAGCGCAAGTGCTGTAAACTGCCGTACACGAGTGCTGTACCACAAGCTTGTGGTGCACAAGTGCATTCATCGCGGGGGCTTGGTACACAAACACCTCACATCCTGATCTTTACGACTTCCCTGCCCTCTCTCATCCCTCCCACCCCCAGGTCCCCATCCTCTCTCTACAAGGTGGATCTCCTCTTTTCCGGCCCTCTTTTACTTTGCTTTAAAAATTATTTATACTCTGGATTTCTCATATGAGAGAAATCACGTGATATTTGATCTTCTGTGTCTGATTTATTTCACTATGTGAGCTTTCTGCTCTTAGGGTCATCCCTTTTCCTACACAGGACTCACGTTTGTCCTTCTTTATGGCTGAGTAATGCTCCATTGTGCATATATGTCACATTTTTAATCAATTTATTTGTTGACAGACGTACAGTCTGCTTCCAAAATTCAGCTATTTTTATTTGTGCTGCTATAGCATGCATATATCGCTGCAATGTGATTTTTTCCAGTTTACAGCTCAGAAAGAGATTCGGATAGGAAACAAAGGTACGGTTTGAAAGTGATGAGATGAAACTGGAAGCAGTGAGACTGGATATCATCACTGCAGTGAACAGTGCAAGACTGAAAAGTTTACCGAAGAAAGGACTGTGATGGTTGGGGTGCAGGGTCAGCTTGGCTGGCTGTGGGAGCCACCTTCGAGGCCGGTGGAATACTTTTGGGTGTGTCTGTGTGGGTCATGGAGCTGTGACCCTGGGGTCTTTATCTGGCCCCCTGCCCTGCTTCCTGCCACCGTGAACCAGGCAGCTCTGCTCTGCCACACCCATTTGCCACGCCGGTCCTGCCTTGGAGCAGCGTGCCACGGACTGAGCCTCCTGAGACAAGAGCCACACACACACACACACACACACACACACACACACACAGAAAACTCCCTCCCTCTGCAGGCTCTGCGGCCACTGAGAACTTGCCATGTGGCTAGGTCTAAACTTTTCCTTGCATAGTTAGTGAAAATGTAAGTAGTCGTGTATGACTGGCGGTGTCACACTGCACAGAACGTGTGGGCTGAGGCATGCGCGGTCTTCACAGTTGTCCCTGGCACCTTCCCAGCCAACTCCGGCTGCCTCGGCTCGCCTTGCACCCCAGCAGCAGCCTGAGTGACAGCTCTCACAGACCTCTGCAGGTGTGCACGGGAAGTGTGCAGAGTGGTCCCCGGGGTCTGTGAGGATCGATTCCCAGCCTCTCCGTGGGTACTAAAGCCGTGGATGCCCAATCTGCGGATGCACATGCAAGCCCCTTACTTGGAACTCTGGATGTGCAGAGCTTGTGCAATCCTATGTACCTTAACTCACCCCTCGGTGACTCAGACACGGAGCGCAACACCACTTATTAGGGACGTCCCTTCCCTCTTTCGTGTGTTTTTGGCCCCTTTGTCAAAGAACAAAGGCTGACTGTGTCTGGGGTTGTTTCTGCTCCCTCTCTTCTGCTGCACTGGACATTGTTTTGTGCCAGTACCATGCTGTTTGTATCACTGTGGCTTTGCAATATAACTTCAGGCCTGGGATTGTGATGCCTTCTGCTTTGTTACGCAGGACTGCTTTTGCTATTCTGGGTCTCTTCTAGTTCCACTGGTAGATACTAGGAAGCAGGGAGAGAGATTCTTCTCAAAGGGGAGGGCGATCAAGAGGTGGACAGAGGTGAGAGGGATATGGGGTAAAAAAATGAATTAAGCTGGGTTATGCACATGGACCAGCTCCACACACGGACTGTGAGCATTACGTGCTGCACATGCGTACTAATGAAAAAGCAAAGGAGAGTAACACAGCGCAACATGGGTGCTAAGGAGCGTCGCATTGCTTAGGGAACAGGGCGTAGTCTGGTTGAGCAGAGAGGCCCAGCTATGTCAACAATGCTGAAACAGTTTCCCCTCAGTCAAACCCACTGGCTGGAAACCTGAGGGGACACGGGGCCTCCTGCTGCTCAGCAGGGCTTTTTGTGTTGAAGAGAATTGACCGCAATGCTGACTTCAAACGATAAACCTCCTGTCACCCGAAATGCCATCTGACGGACTCACAACGGAACGAGCGTCCTGCTGTCAACAAGGCCGCTGTTGGTCCAGGCACCCGTCAGGACAGCGTGCGAGGGTGGGACCCCCATGGCAAGTGCCCGTGCCCTCGTGGCCTGCGTCAGGCCGGCCCTCTACTGCACCCCAGCCTCCTCCGTCGCCCCGTCCTCTGCTGGATCTCTGGCCTGGAGAGCAGTCCGGCCTCAGCATGGTGGCTGGGGACAGGAGAGGGAGCTCAGCCTGGCGGGAGTGGGGTTTTCTCTCGTTTCCTGGCCACCCTCGAATGCAGTCTCACCTCCACGGCAGAGGGCGCGGCTGACCCTTCCCTTCCCTCAGAACCAGACGCTGTGCCCAACTTTACGCTTAACGGTTGTCATTTGAAGGCTCGTGTTCTAAGTGGGATCGAGGCTGTGAGGCCGAGGTCAGGCTGTGCTCTGAGCCCTCTCCACCCTCAGCCACGCGTGGCTCTGTGCCCCATGTGGGGGGCAGTTGGCGCACCCTGGCTGCTCTGGCCCCAGAACCCGTGGTTCCAGAGACGGCCACACAGGACCGGGAGTTATGACTTGGTCTTGTTCTGCCGTGAAGGCCAGCCTGTCATTTTAGGGACGGCTGCCAGAACAAATGACAGGAGTGTTCCAAACACCATGGGCGTCCGGTGGTCACAGGCTGGCACTTGACAACATACACTGGCTCTCTGGCTGAGGGGTGGGCAGGGAGCAGGTGGGTACCTGAAGGTCCCCTCAGGTGGAGGACTGGGGAGGCACAGCCGGGGTATCGACTCTCCTGATCTTTGTGGGTTTATTTTTTCATGGTAGCACTGGGGGTTGAACCCAGGGCCTTCACACTGAGCTACATCCCCAGCCCCTTCCTTAGTTTTCATTTAGAGACAGGGTCTCACTAAGTATTTAACTTGCCCTGGCAGGGCTTAGATGTGTGATCCTCCTGCCTCAGCCCTCCAGAGTTCTGGGATTACATATGTGCACCATCACACCCAGTTCTAGGTTCTTATTGAACCAGAAAACCCAGGTTCTTTACACTTTCACTGCCCCACTGCCGGGGCAAAATGCCACTGGATGTGTCAAACCTGATGTTGTTTCTTACAGGTTTTGAACCATGGCGAAAGGGTGACTCTGAAACCTGGTGGGGCCTGGATTCTTACGGGAGCAGAGGGGACAGGCCAGGCTGGCTGAGACGGCCCTAGCAGACTGCGCTCCCGTCCCTGGTCACCAGGCAGAGCCAGCCTCCGGCGCCTGAACGGCGGTCTGCGGAGGCACGGCTGTGGTGTGAGTGCGCCCGTGAGCGTGTTCTTAAACACAGACAAAGACATTCCAAGCAGTAGAAAATGAAGAACACCGTATTCATGTTTATTTCCAATTACAAGAAACAAAACATCAGTCCCTTAATTGTACAAAAATACCTGAAAGTTTACGATTAGGTTCACGAGCCAAAGAGCTATGTACAGAATGAAGCAAAGCACATGATTAAAGGTTTTGTCTCAGAATCAACGCCTTCTGCATTCCCTGAAAACATGTCAGGCCACTGATGGTCACTGTAGCTCGCACTACGACATCACAAATCTACGATGAGCTCGTCCACCCCACGCAGGCCCAGTGGTCGGTCAGATGGTCAGGTGTTGAGTGCAGAAAGGAGAAGACAAAACAGCTAGGCTGAGGCACATGTTTCTTCAAAGTTTAGCGAACAAAAACACGTTCTGGAATTCTAACACCTATTGACGGGGCTTCCCTACGAGCCGCTAACACCCATAACATTTGGCGTTTTCTCTCTCAACTTAATCCAGGTTGCTACATGGAGTTTTCGTTTAGAAAAAGCACAGGCAGAGATTCAAAAGTCAACAGGCTCCAAAACAACCCTGAGCTGTCCCCTTTACATTCATGTCAATAAAATACAAAAATAAAAGTCAAATGTCCGCCCGTCCCTGCCAGGGGGCTGGACGCCCACAGCCCCAGGGACAAGCTGTTGTCACGGGGAATCCCTGGCCACCCGTGCAAGGCGGCCAGGCAAGCACGGGGTGTGGGACATCACTTCGGCTGGGGTACAAAAGACTAAATCAATCACCTACACACAAAGCCATAAATCAGAGTCAAACTACCATCCACCTTGTAAATAAAACGCATACTCAAGACTAATACTGCACGTCCTGGCGGTCTAGCGCGTTGGTGTGAAAGGCTATGCACTGCGGAGACTGGTCTACGTAAACAGAAAAACAATCTCCAAGAATTGCTTTTTTTTTTGTTGTTTTTTAAAGATTTTACCTCCATCCAGTGAAAAAGGGTATAATGGCAGCAGTGACATCCCCATCCCTAACACACACAGACTGGTGGAGGTACAAACGCTACCAGGCACTGACTTGAGGATGAGCTCAGAGTCAACAGTTGGGATGGTTAACTGGCTGCGAAGGGAAGAAAATGCCATCGAGTACAGATGGTCAAAAGCACGTTTTGCAAAAAGAATTCTTCACTCGCATAGGTAGACGTTTCACGGACATAACTGGAGTGTGGGCTGTAAACTAAGATACAGTGTTTCTACACCAGACTCACTGGCGGCTGGTCTGTCACCGGTCCTGAACTACGCACGTCACCATCACCAGGAGGGCACGGGGAGGAGCGGCTGGGGAGGTCGGGGTGGAGTTGGGCAATCCAGTGCTGGCTGTCACAGGAGCCGGTCGGGAGTGGCCTCGGGGAAGGACAGAGATCTGCCTGGCACAGTAGTCATCTGCTTGTGCAAGGGGTCCTGTCAGTCACCCTTATACCTGGCGACTCAGCTAAGGGGACACGACAAAGGATCCCTGGAGTCCTCAACCCATGCTCGGCGCCCATGAGCCAAAGCGTGCGGAGGAGGAGCCGCTGGCTGTGACGCAGGGGCGGCAAAGCAGAGGCCTTTAAGTGGCAGCCGGGTCCTGTGCCCTGGGGCCATGTTTCCGGGCCTTTGTTACCACGGCAACCCACAGGATGCAGCACCTAGCCAACCAGGTGCCGGTTTCTTTTCAGATCCTTGAGCCCCTGAAGAGATACTCACAAGATGATGAGGATCACTGCAGGGGCCACGGATACATGGGGCTGGGCCTGCACCCGCTAGCAGTAGGTCCTGCGCTGGGCTGTGTGGGGACCACGATTTTCCCAACATGGTGATGTCTCCAGCGCCACAAAGAATTAGACACCAAATGACAAAAGGACCGACGTCTGCACACGGTAACGAGCAAGACCGTGGCAGCGAGACTGTGCCACGGAAAGGACCGGGTGCTGACCACAGCGGACACCTTTTATCAAAAAAAAAAGCTTTTCAAGTATACTGGGAAGGGCAGGGGGTGGTTTGCAATTTGGGAGCCGAATTCACACAGTGACAACCTGCAGGGGTGTGGGCCACTCCCTGGGGACCTCCGGGGACCCTTTCCAGCCTGAAGTCTGCCAATCAGAAAAGCTTTCTGTCTCACACGCGTCCAATAGCCACAACCCCTCCTACCATAGGCTGAGTACAATGTCGACAACATGAGGAGTGCAAAAGTGATCGATACAAAAAGTAAACATAGCAGTTTTAATTGTCAAGATTATCCCAGGGCAAGAGTTCGCTTCCGCTTCCTCCGCTCCTCTCCTTCCGAAGGGGCCCAGCCAAGACGCTCATTCCAGTTTCTTCCGGGCTTGCAGGGGACCCCTGGAGCCTTCCCTGGCCCAGCCGGGTGCAGGGGGGCCTCGGGGTCCACAGCCAGCAAGTCGCCGGGAAGTCCCTCAAACTAGTCGCTCTTGGTCATTGGCACTGCATGAATGTGTGTCGCCGCGCAAGTTCTGAGGTGTGGGGTGGGGGGGTCCTCCTCTCCTCCGTCCAGTGTTGGCTTCCTGCGGTGTCGCCGGGCAGGCGTCTGAGGTCATAAGGCCACGCGGATGCAGTGATGTTTCAGTCTGCAAGGCAGCACACCCTTGTTGAGCTGGTAGAAGTCGACCAGCTGGATCAGGTCGGAGAACCTGGTGTTCCCGTCGTCCAGGGTGAAGAAGATCTGCCCCTCCTCCTCGTACTGCGGGGACACAAGAGGACGCACGCCAGGTTAGAGCCCGCTCACCCTCCACGGGAAGGGTGCCCCAGACTCGGGCCTGGGTGTGGAAGCACACGACCTCCTCTGGTTCCCAAACCTCTGCTCCAGGAGGGACAACGGCTGCACTGCTGGGAGGGCCCTCTAACGTCCCACAGGGGAAGCAACTCTTCCCTGCTTTCCTGGGACTGCTTGGCACCTGTTTTCATTAGGACAGGAACTCTGCACTGTCTCCCAAATGCATTTATTTTGTTGACACTGGCAATTGAATCCAGAGTCCACTGAGCCATATACTCACCTCTTTCTTTTTATTTTGCGATAAAGTCTTTCTTGCTAAATGACCAGGCTGGCCTTGAACTCATGACTCTTCTGCCTCAGCCTCCGGAATAGCCGAGATTATAGGTATGTACCACAATGCCCAGCTAGAGCTACGTTCCTTTTTTCTTATTTATCATTTTCAACTGATACATAAAGATGTAAAAATTACACATACTTATGTGGTGTCACACAGTATTCTGCTACATGCATTCATGTATTCACCATGGGATGTTTTAGATCAGCTGAAACATACCTAGCTCCTCGGACACCAGAGAAGGACGGGAAAACTTTAACACCCTTCCTTCTAGCTTCCTGGACAGAAAAGCGTATTTCCCATAGTCACCCTGCTGCGGCACAGCACCCAGCCCTCTTCCTCCTACCTCAAACTGGCTGAGCACGGCCCCATGAACCTCTCCCTACCCCTCTAACTTCACTATATTCTTCCAATGTTATTCTACACAGGTTTTTTGAGGTTATAGGTTTATTTCACCCTCACGTAGAATTTTACGAGACAATGTGCCGCTTGGGTTAAACAACAACGAAGAGCCAGGGGTGGGCTCCAAGCCACGCAATGCGGGAGAAATGCCAGGAGCAGACCTCAGGGTGAGCCCAGCCAGGGCACGGCGCGCTGGACACCAGGCGCAGGAGCCCACACCCTGGGCCAGAAACTGAGCACCCTCCTGGGGACACGGGATGTTGCACAGGCGACTTTCACAGCTGCTTTGACTCAGTGAGCTTCCAATCTGACCCTGCAGCGCAGGGCAGGGTGGGAACGTCACTGCTGTGCACGGCGGGAGCGCCTCACACCTTGGCGGGGTGATGGACTCAGAGCCATTTCCTAACCTAACGCAGCGCAAGAGCCCACACCTGTTCCCAAGGGCCGAGCTGCAAGCTAGGAAGTCCCGGGGAGCGGGATCGCACATTGCCCGTGCTGGAAGGCCTCCCCATCTTATAATTTTTAAGCTGAGAGAACCTCGGCGTTTGCTTCGGCAGCATAACGCATCGGGAAAGCACACAGGGTCTCGGGTTCCTCCGGGCGTTCGTCCTGCACTCGCACTGACAGCGGAACCTGGGAAGCTGTAGCTCAGCCTGAACCACAGTGCTCCTTTTCCAAGGGGAGCACTCATTTCCTTCCTCCGGGTGGGCACACAGCGGGAGGCACAGAAAGGAGTGACAGGAGGTGCCCCGAGTGCCACTGCCTGAGTCCTAGGGAGCTAACGACGCCTCCTGTGCCAGCCCACGGCTTCCGCTCGTGGTGCTTGGGAATGCAGCCAAAACTCTGAGGGGTCAAGTACTCTTGCAGACGACTATGTGAAATGGCTGCTGCTGTCTGCCCGACACCTCACAGAGCTGTTCCTTGCTAAGGTGCGAGTCTGAGGAAACCCCGTGGCCACCTCCTCTGGGCAGAGGACTTCCTGCGTCTGAGTTCTGCAGGGAACATTCCACGATGGTTATCCACACCTGCACGATTTATCAGAGCACGACGGAAAGTGCTTGGTGTCGGTTCTGAATGTCATACCCCCAACTGAACTGAGAGCTATCCCCAAATCATGAAATAGAATTTGAACTCAGCACACGGAACGCGAGCCCATGTGCAAAAGGGTCTGACAGTGCCTGTTCTGTGAAAAGCAAGAGTCTGGTTTCTGATCCAGCCCCCAGGTAGAAGGAAGAATAGTTTCTCCTTGGGGGTCACAAGGGAGTTTTTGCACAACGTTCCTGATGCTGCAGGGCTCCTGTCTTCCAGTCTACAAGTGCTCAGGGCCCCTGGAGCCCTCCGTGGCTGTCGCCTTCCATGTCCTCCTGAGCCCCCCAACCTGGGTCCTCCTGAGTGGAAGACATTCCTGCTATGCCTGAGAGCTAACTTCTGGGCTCAGGGCCCAAGGTATGGCATACCTTGGTATGGTATCACCACACTCAGCAGCATTTCCAGGGAGACACTGATCCTAAGTTCAAAGGACACTTCTACAAACACTTGAAATCTGCTGGTTCGTAAGCTTACACTCTCCGTGTGGTCACCTGTAGTCCTGTGGATAACTTGGAATCTGCACTGAGACCGAAGTGAGGGTGGTTGGAGCCGTCAGTACTTACAGGTAAGATCTGGAAATTTTTAATCTTCTGGTGATGACACAGTGTGAGGACAAAGGCCTTTGGGTTACTCTGACTGTCACGGAGGAGAAACAGCCTGGGGACAGAAAACCAGCATGGGGCGTTAATGCTTCTTACAGCCCAAGAGGAGCGACACACATGTATAGGCACACGCACGCACACATGCACACACGCTTCCTAGCCCTGCTGGGCAAGTCGCGATATGGTGAGATCAGAATATATTGTAAACCCCCGCAGAACCCTCCCCCTTGCTTTGAACACACCCCTGCATTCTGGCCACTTTCTGCAAAGGCTCTGGGATCTTCTCTCCTGAGTGTCTTTGTAAGGCGTGATAAAAAAAATATGGTGAAGGCCACCACCTGGCGCCATCCAACAGAAGGCAGCTCATGACAACGTGACGTTGTGTCCTCATCCATCGGCTCTGCCACTGTGTGACCCTGCCTCTTCCCCCAGTCAAAATGACCACGGAAGGTCAGTATTTTGGATTGATTTAGGACACTGAGGCAGCCATACTAGTGCAGATAAAGACCCTCAAGAAAGAGGACTCCAGAGCTGCTTCATAAAGTGGCAAAGCTTAAGAGAAGTGTGTTGGGAGCGAGGGGGAGGATTTTGAGGGGGATTCATGGCAATGTGACTTCTACCGTAATAAATTAGAAAACTTTAACAGTCACTATATTGCTTGGCCACACCTCGTACTCTGGGGCTGTGGCATCTGAGTGACTTTAGTGGCAACAGCAGCCAGCACCTGCTCCTTCATTTTTTGAGGTGTCCCTCCCCACCAAAAGGAACCAGGGACCCTTCGGTTATGGCTGGCTGTGGGGTAAACCAGGGAAATGACTCGGGGAGGCCGGGACAGTCTGTGCCCGGAAGTCAGGAAGTGTGCAGAGTATGGCCTCGGAGGCAGGCGGGCTAAGTCAGGGAATCCTGATAGGTCACAGAAGTGATGGCTTACAACCTATGAAATACAACAGGAGTTCAGGAATCCGTACAGGTGTTGGAAGAAATGAGCAAATAAGGGAAGAAAGGACAAGAATTCCAAGTAAGTAAATCAAAGACTGGTGGATTTGAACATCATTTGGCAATCAATACAGCAGCAACTGACTAAGGAGAAGACCTGCAAAGGAGGCTAAAACAAGCAAATAAAAATCTGACAAGAAAGAGCAGAGTCCCAAGCAGTGATGGTGAAGTTTGTAGAGCTTTCAATGACCCACGCAGCCTTCTGTGGCACACAAGCCAGACGTTTACCACCACTGGTCTAAAGCGTTGTACTTGTAACAGTTAGCTTTCATAAAAGGGAAGACATCAGCTAGACTACAGAAACCAGGTTGCAGCCATCCTCATCAAGTGTTAAAGTACCACCACAAGAGTGAGGCACATGGACCTGAAGTGCCTGCTGATAGGACAGGTGACACGGACACAACACCCCCTCCATGAGGACACCGTCTGGTGCAGACCAAGCCAGGTCCTGTCCTACAGAAGTAGAGTTCCAGTCACAACAAGGTCAAGTCCACGGGGACGGGCGGGATGGGGGAATCCAGGACTCTGAGGTCTTTCCTCTTGCTGTTAATGACACAATGCGGAGCGTTGGGAACATCTGAGTATGTAGACACACAATTCTGTCAATGTCAATCTGATTTTTACAGCAAGGCTGTGCTTGTGGTAAAGGTGCCCTTGTTTGTAATAATTTCACACTGAAATAATTGGGCACAAAGGGGCATCATGCTGTAACTTACTCTCTGGTGATTCATGAAAAAATAGTAGAGAAAAAAAATGGTGATGCCCTCTCTGCGCAGAGTACTTCTTTTCCACCTTTAAGAAATGTAAGGTAGTGACCTTTTCTGTGTGTACAATTCTTTGTTCAGGACAGAAAGAACCTGGAAACAGTTTCAGGACCCCCCAAAAAGCCTGTAACACTATGGGAGGTTGAGGCAGGACTGAAAGCACAAGCACACCCTGAGTAACTGAGCAAGACCCTGTCTCAAAATTTAAAAATTAATAAAGGGCTCGGGATGTAGCTCAGTGTGACCTTGGGCTCAGTCCCCAGTACTTTAAGAACAAAAGCAGGGCTGGGGATTTAGCTCAGCGGCAAAAGCGCCTGCCTGGCAAGCACAAGGTCGTGAGTTCAGTTCCCGGTACCGGAGAAAAACCAAAAAA